TTTAATAACCACTGTTTTCTTGATGGTAAATTCTTTTTTGATGTTAGGTTTGTTAAAAGAGTTCAGATTTGCTATTTATTTGCTCATTTTTATAACATTATCGTTTTGCAATCATCTTATGTGGAAGATTATTTGTGATAAAGTGCAGGGACTGAAGGTGTTGAATGTGTCCCCCCTCCATCTGGATGCAGTAGCTTTGGAAGATATGAAGTTGCTTTGCTGTGTTTGGGAATGATGCATTTTCACTTAGGGCACCCAAAGCAAGCTTTGGAAGTGAGCATTCAAAGTCAATCACTGTTGTCCTTATAGATTCCATTTTCTTGTATTTTTTGCTGATAATGAGCCTTTTCATTTTGTATTTTGCTGCTTAAGACCCTATCATTTAGGTTGGAAACAATGTAGCTAATTATTTTCCTTATGTGTTCAGGTTCTAAGTGAAGCAGTTCGAGTCTCCCAGCAGGTGCTTTTCTTATTTTTGTTATTTGTGTTTGTTTCTTATGTATTCCAGTTCTTCTATGCATTCATACTTCATTTTATTGAGTAGGAGTGACTATGCCACATTGTTATTATATATTAATTTCTAATCTAACTTTGTTGCATCCGCTTTTAACTATATATTCTTGAGAAAGCGAAGAACTCATAGTTGTCCTAGTAAAGGATCAAGCCCCTCTGAGATCGTTGGGTTTGAATCAAAGAAGATTAAATTCATTGTGACGGTATTGGAATTTTCATGTTGTTGCCTTTTTGGTAGTGAAAGGCTTAACATGTAATCTAAACTGCCCGTCTGATAATTCATTTGTGACCCTATTCTTGTCTTCTAATTGTCTAATTTTGTCTCAACTGTGCAGTACAGTGATGACACATGCCTTTCATACACGCTGGCGGCGATAGCTAACCTCTTGTCTGAAATAGGAATATCAGAAACACGTGGAATTATGGGATCGTCGTACTGGCCTGTTGCTGATATAGGCACTTCGCTATCTATCCAACAACAGTTATATGTTCTGTTAAGGAGATCTCTTAAGAGGGCTGAAAGTCTTAAGTTGAAGCGACTAGTGGCATCTATACATCTTGAAATTGCTAAATACGACATAACAGTAAATATTCTTTCACGCTTTTGTTTTAGAAACTATCCAATGGTATATTAGTTCTCTACCGAGCCTCAGTTTGGCCGGGGTCCTTAATGTTCCATAATGAAATTGCTGTAGGGAGATTTGTATATATATTTCTGGGAATCAGTTTCAGATTACTATCTTATGCGCATATATGTAAATAAAGCTGTCATGGTCGAGCGTCCACTTACTGGAATTATAAAATGGCTTTATGTAATATTTCATAGACTTAGTTGGTATTGTTTTGGGGAAGGAAATCTGAATGGCATTACTTTGTTCTGCAGCATGTCCAAAGACCATTGGTTTCATTTGGCCCAAAGACTTCCATGAAGCTTAAAACTTACCCTGCCAATGTCTATAAGGTTCTTTCTGTTAGATGATTTAGTTTTTATGGAACTCTCCCAAGTTTCTTCTGTAACATGTCCCCTTTCTTTTATTTTTCATGCATTGCTCAGGAATTATGGCTTAGTTCTCATCTAATTAATGAGTTTAGTGATGAAACTTCAGTCATGACTGCTGATGGTGCTTTCTGCACGGCTTGGCTGAAAAGTTTGAGAAAACCATCAGGCTCATTAGTTCTTACCCAAGCAAATGAAACCAGGAGCCACTCAGATGCATTTCAGTTCTCAGCACAGCCAAACTCTATTCCTGCTTCAGTTTTACAGTTAGCAGGGTCTTCATATTTGATTCGTGCTGGTTCATGGGAGACGTATGGCAGGTGATTTGTTGGAGCCCTATTCGAGATAATTTGTACTTGAATTTTGATAAAATTTTGGAAGTCCTTCAATGTACAATTCGTAATTGTATCTTGTCTATTGCCATTATCTTATTTTTCTATCTTTTATATTCAGTGCTCCTCTAGCTCGAATAAACGCACTGGTATTTGCTACTTGCTTCTCAGATTCTTCGAGGTACTCGCTACTATTGCCTGTATCTTAACCAGCTGCTTCTTTTTGCCAATTTTATCTGCTGATGAATATCAACTTCTAAGATACAAGCATCTTGTGATTCCACAGTGTATCTGATGCTGCATTAGCCTACTCCAAGCTCATCCAACATTTGGCTGTGTATAAAGGCTACAAAGGTTGGACATCACATATATGTGCCTAGACAGACCCCTCTCTCTCACATGCATACCGCACTCAGTTACTCACTTTTGTTCTCATTTATATCATTTTTTTATTCCTGATTTAAGGTCTGCAATTTATTTATTTATTTATTTTTTTGGTGATATACCACAAATATTACTTAAACACTGATATGTAGTTGCTTCTCCTGACTCGGAAGTATGTTTCATAGAAAACTAATATGAATGTTTCATAGAATCCCGTGAAACTAGTTTAGTATCCCAATTTCTCTTTGCCTACCTGCATGTTCCTGATACCCCCCTCTTCTCTCTTGTTCTCCTCGGCCTTCTGACAATTCTCATGTATTGCCTTCTCATCCTATTTCTTGGATTCCATTTTATGCATGCAACAGATGCTTTTGCAGCTCTGAAAATAGCAGAAGAAAAGTTCACGTGTGTTTCAGAATCCAGAATCCTGCTAGTGAAACTACAGTTGTTGCATGAGTGCGCTGTACACAGGTATTGCATATTTACTTAAAATATTATTGCCAGGTGAGTACATGTTACATTGAGATAGTTCATAGTTTCTTTGGTTATCGACTTCCACAGGGGACATTTAAAACTAGCTCAAAACTTCTGTGATGAGCTTGGGGTTTTGGCCTCTCCTGTTACTGGTGTGGATATGGAGCTAAAAGCTGAAGCTAGCCTACGTCATGCTCGAACTTTACTTGCTGCAAAGCAGTATAGCCAGGTTAGTATCTCCTCCATACATTTGTGCTTAATGAAAATGCTTGAGAATCTTGACGTTGTGCTTCTTATGGCCTTTGGATGGTGCAACATGATGAAACCATGTTTTACTGTTGAATGGTAGAGTCCTATTTCTTTATTGAAATTCCGACAAATTCAGGATATCAGTAAAGGCCAAGAGAACTTGCTCTGTCAATTTTCGTTTTACTTGTTGAAATTTTCGGACACAGTGACATTTAATGTAATGTGTGAATTTAGTCCAAGCAGACAAAATAGTTGCTGTCTTCTCATTTCTGATGCATAAGTTGTTTTGGCAGGCAGCAGCTGTTGCCAACTCTCTATTCTCCTTGTGCTACAAGTTTAACATGCAAGTAAAAAATGCCACTGTTCTCCTATTGCTTGCAGAGATACACATGGTATTTACAATTAGTTGGCACTAGAAACTTCTCTCTGTTGCTGGAATGGAATAGTGACTAGCATACTGTATATGTTGATTATGATTATTTGTTATGATGCTTCCTGTTCAACATTTCATCATCTCAAACTACGTGGTATCTGTGTTTTGCTGATTTTTATTTTTTTTCACACTTTTTGTCGATTGCAGAAGTCAGGCAATGCTGTTTTGGGAATTCCATACGCTTTGGCTAGCCTTTCATTTTGTCAGTCATTTAACCTTGATCTTCTTAAAGCCTCTGCAACACTAATTCTAGCTCAGTTATGGCTCTCTCTTGGATCAAATCATGCAAAAAAGGCTTTGTCCCTTCTACATTCTTCTTTCCCGATGCTTCTTGGTCATGGTGGCTTGGAGCTTCGTGCTAGAGCATTTATAACAGAAGCAAAATGCTATTTAGCAGACCCAAGCTTTTCAGGTAATATCATAAGCTTTCTGCTTTATTGCTAAGAAAAGTGAGTAAAAATAACATATATTTGAAATGGTTTTTCGTTGCATTCATTAGTTTCGGAAAACTCAGACATGGTTTTAGAACCTCTTCGACTAGCTTCAGAAGAACTTCAACTCTTGGAGGTTGGTTAATTTCCGAACTTCAACTATTCCGTGTTACACTAATAGCCTCCATTTATCACTCTCATCATAAACATCGAGATTTTAAAACAATCAAAATTGTCTGTGCAGTATCACGAGTTGGCCTCGGAAGCTTTCTACTTGATGGCCATTGTATATGACATGCTTGGGCAATTGGACGACAGGGAAGATGCAGCTTCTTCATTTAGGAAACATATTATAGCACTTGAGAACCCACAAGACATGGATTATTCTCTCTAGTGTTCGTCGTAAAAGAAGGTAACATTTGCTATATCTGAACGAGAAATGCTATATGTACATAATACTGTACATAGAGGTGAACGTAACACTCACATTAAGTGAGTTCTACAAAAAATAAAAAGAGAAATGCTATAAGTACATAATACTGTATATAGAGTTGTACCTAACACTCACACTAAGTGGGTCCTACTATAAATAAAAAATCAAGTGGACCCCACTCCATGTGAGTGTTATGTACACCTTTATGTACATTTATTATGTACTTGTAGCGTTTTTCTATCTGAACATCAGATATGTTATGTTAGTTGTTACTCCCTCCTATTTATAATAACTGTCGTTTTGAGAAGTTGCACAACTATTAAGAATATTTTTTTGTCAATAATAACCCTCATTAATGAGGATATAGATGAATGTTTTGAGAAAAAAATGAAGAGTTAATATGAAAAGTCGTAGTGAATTTATTAACTAGATGAGGGTAATAATGGAAAAATATGTACAAAATATCCAAAATGACATTTATTTTGTTAATAGTTGATAATGCCAAAATGAAATTTAAAAAGAATAGGAGAGTAGTATGTAACTAAATAATGAAATTAGTTGGCCATAGGTAAATGTTGTTGTTTGATTTAATTCTAGCACGTGATCCAATGCTTATTATTTATTTTTTTTTTTAACATTAAATTCCCTATTGCACATATACTGATGCTGATATTCTTCTTTTTGTATATTTTCTTTTGAATTAAAATACTCTTTCTGTGTGCAATGCTGAACTTGAACAACAGGATGAGGAGGCTGGTCGAGGATTTACAAGCTATCAATTTGGTTGTGGCCTATTTTATTTTATTTTATTTATTTTTTTTTTGCTTTTTAATTTATTACTTCTTAGTTCTTTTGTATCTTTTTTTTTTTNNNTGGGTGTATGAATGGTCTGTGGAATTAAGACATGTATATTTAAGCGGTGAGGTGTATGAATTTGTAGCATGAAATGAAGCCATTTTGGTTTTGGATTGACGACATTGACTTGGCATGTTTAGTTGAGTAACATAAAATCAATTAAATTATTGATGAATATATATAGTATGACGATAACATTTAGTGTTGAATTCCAAAATCAACGCACAAACCCGTGTAAACGCTGACTAAAAACTCGCGTAAACACTCGCGGTAAATTCAAAATACCCGCGTAAATTCCCATAAAAAACGTGCATAAACGCTTACGGTAACCTCAAAAACCCACGTAAAGGGGAGGGTCACGATACTCCCAAAAAACCCGTGTAAACACTCTTTATAATTTTAGAAAATTGTGGTACGCCGATGTAAATTATTTGCATATAAACAATTAAAATATTTTTAATGTATACTGTTATTAATTATAATAATAATAAATCAATTGGTGTTGAACTGTCATATTAAATATTATATTATATTAGAATGAATATTTAAAATATTTATAATATATATTATTATAAATTATAATAATTGTTAGTGGTTTTATATAATACATATATAAATATATATAGGACTAACATTTATGTAGCGGAAGCGAATACTTGCCCGTATCTTTTATCCGACGGCTACTAGAGTCGTCGATATCCCCCATGTTCTAAAACCTGAGCCGCCTTAAGATGGTTTCGGCTCAACAAGAGAATATGCACTAAATAAAGATAATTGTATATTTTCCCAGTTTATTTCTTTGTCTCGTATTGTTCATTTTTCAAGATGCACACAAGCACCTTATTTATAGTTGTCTTAATACAACTATTCACTTAATGAAGACATGACTTCACACTTAATGAAGACATGAATTCACTTCATAACTCACTTCATAACTCCATACATAATGGAGATGAAGTTGTAAGTTGTAACACCACCACATTTAAGTGGACGTTACCAATTGATGCAACATATCATCAATTAAAAACAATAATAATATAAACAATTTTGATGTAATAAAATTTTTAAGAAGTTTATAACTTTAAAGTAATATACATTATAATATTTTTAAATTATTTTTAAACTTTACCCTAACTTGTTGAGGAATCGAAACAGTATATTATAAAAGTTTATGACTAAGAAAAGAGATACGAATGTATTTATTATAAAAATGTATGAGTAAAGAAAAGATGATGAGTGGATAGATAACTCTGGAAGCTCAAGTGACAAAATAAAAGACATGAAGAAATTATTAAATTCGATCGAATATAGTGAAGAGCGTACGGTGACAGTTGACAACTTGATGCTGTCAATCTCCGACAATGGTGAGAAAGAATCGACTAAAGAAGATAGAGTAGAAGACGAGCTAACAAATCACGGGCAAGTTAACGAGCGTTGGATAAGAATAGAAGATCAGTCAAGTGTCAAGAGCCCACAAGTCCACAGATCAGCGAGAGTACGAGTACCAAGCCCAAAACACATGGGTAAAATATTTACAGGCACAAACTTATGTGAAGATGTGTTTCTCGACATAAGGTGGCCGAGAATAACGAACGAGAAGAAGTCGGTGATGAGGTGGAGTGTTAAATTAAATTAAACATCACCGACTTTGGGTTCTAGAATTTTGAGCAACTTCTAAATGATGGCAAGCTAATTAGATTTATGACTAATAAGTTAGACATTAAATAATGCTAGAATTATCTAGAACTTAAGAGATGGCAAATGGTAACGGACGTACTAGATTGTTCCCTAAAATAGTATAAATAGGCATCAAAGTTGTAATGGGTGTGTGTCCAATGAGTAAGTTGTAAGAGCATGTGTGGATAGAGAAATAATATTAAGTGTACTAGAAAGAGTAAGAGAGTGTATTATAATAAAATAATTAGTGTATTTTGGTCTTGATAAGTGAAATATTTATTTTAGTCTATAGTGTGTTTGTATAATTACTTTGTAGTAATTACATTAGTGTGTTGTATACCCAATTCAATAATCATGCCATCTGCTCAAAGATAGGTCAAGAGTGGGCATTTTCCTTACCTAAGAGGGCTGTTCACATTCCCATAGTCGTGATCGACTGGTCATACATATAGATCTGGATATTTATTTTGGTTTTATCGCTTTTATTGGGTTTTAACCTTTATCTGAATTTATTTTGTGAGACTGAAATTTACATTTTGACTGGTCATACATATAGATCTGGATATTTATTTTGGTTTTATCGCTTTTATTGGGTTTCAACCTTTATTTGAATTTATTTTGTGAGACTGAAATTTACATTTATTTTGTGAGACTGAAATTTACGTGTTTGGACAGGACTCTGTGCGTTCGGGTTTTAAACTTTCATATTATTTTAAATAATTATTTTATAATAGAAAAAATTAATTGTAGATCACGTATTACTAAACATGTATTTAAGTGAAGGTTAATATTTATTACTATATTATAAGGAATTAAAGTTGACATAAAATATTTTAATAACACATCTAATTATAATTCGGTTCTTAATTTTCGGTTCTTCGATTCGGTACAGTATGGGACGGTTCTGTTGGTTCTCGGTACGGATATTTGCAAAATCTCCAGAACTGTACCAATTATTTTTCCGGTTCGGTTCGGTTCAGAGAAAGTCAAACGGTCAACGATTATTTTTCGGTTCGGAGTTTATTTCGATCTGATTTTCGGAACGGTTCGAAATTCTCCGAGTCCCATGTTCAACCCTACGTGGAATATGTAGCTTATAACTAGCTAGTTAAATACACACTTTAGGTATTTATTTATTTTCTAGCTAAATACACACTTTAGGTATTTATTATTTAAAGACTTTGTAATTAAGGCTCTAGAAATGTTGGTGTATTCAAATTACTTTTGGTTAAGTGTGATATTTGAAAACTAGTCAACCAATTTGCAGTACTAAATACGCACCTATCTTACTCTTTTCAATGTACGATATTTTTTATAAAAAATATGTAAACTTTAAAAAAAAAAAAAACGTCAATCTAATGATTAAGTTGGCATAATAAAAACTAATCCTTTTAACAATAGTCATTTATAATAGTTATTTTCCTCTAAATCTACTCAAAGTTATAAACTACATCCAGATTTTCATGTCGCACGTTTGAATCTAGGTCACTATTGAATCTTATCTGAAAAAAAAAATATGTATCAATTGATCTTGCGTAATTCAATCTGTCCATATTTTTACTCGATTTGCATTTTAAAGCTCAATTTCATTCAT